ACTAGACTAGACTAGACTAGAAGGATATTTTTTCTACTTCAAGAGTTAAAAAAATATTCCCTATTCACTCCTTTCTCTATCCATATCAGGCTCTGGTCCAGGCCAGCCCTTAGGCACCAGAGGAACTTTTGTTTCCCAAGAATAGAGATCCCTTCTCTGCCTCCCCTTCGAGCTCCTTTGGATCTGACCTTGGGAAATAGCAGCTGTGGCAGGCCATGCTATAGAGGACATGGAAAACTTTGGGTTAAGGTGTTCTCTTCAGTTTCAGTTCTGAGCCTGTGGTCCACGCAGAGGCCCCTAGGGTACAGAATGAAGGTGGCATGACCACAGCCTGGCTGGGGGTAAGAGGCGGTGCTCTGGGAAAGGCCAGCCAGGTGGGATGCCCACATACTAGCTAGAAACGAACCTTTATTGTGTGACCTTGGACAAGTCTCAGTTTCCTCCTGCATCTGGTTTTTTAATTCAGCAAAATGTTGGTTTTGGAGTGGATATTATTCTATTCACCACCTTTATTATTCTCTGCCACCACCATTCTGTCCTCCTGGACTCTTTGTGACAAAAGGAGAAATAGCAAATTCTAGGTGTTCATAGGCTATGCATACACACAACATTTAAAAATACTGAATGGATGGTCACAGCAGGCTCTGGAGAAAAGAGACAGGGTAAAAAAGGGAGCAGGGGTTGGGGGGTGGGTGATGTCTACTTAGTTTTTGCTCTCTTCTAAGAACTTTATTTTTTTTAAGATTTATTTTTATTTATTTTTACATACAAGAACTGGGGTGTAGCCAGAGGTGCAGGGGTGTGAGAGGATTCACCAGAACCAGAGTGGGGAGCACACCAGGTAGACCTACTGAAATACACTGCTGAGGGGAGCAGTGGGTGAGACATGAGAGGTCTGCTGTGCCATGAGGGTTAGTTCCCTGGCTGGGGAACTCATGTTGCAGTGGCTGGTGATAGCTTCATAGTGCTGAGACTTATCTCCTTGCGCCAGCAGGGAGGCCCCCTTCCAAGAACTTTAAAGCAAGAAGAAAAGATTATGAATGGTAGAATATGATACCTCCAACAATGTGATTTTAGACAGGGTACAAAACTATAGTCACCTGAAATCAAGAGGCTTCTTCCTACCCTGTCACTAAACACACACACACATACCTAGTTGCAATGTGTGTAGGACAGGACACAAACTATGACCAACACATATTCTAAATCACAAATCATCACAGGCCTCTGTGCCCTCTGACAAAACAAGGTAACTTGTATCCTTGAAGCCCCCTACATAAACAGTAGCCTGGGGTCCTGAACTTAGTAGATTCCGAGGCCCAAATTCACTGCTGGCTTCCAAGGGCACAGAATAAAGGTCATCTGGGGTTCCTGGGGCAGGTTCATACTCTCTTTGGGCAGCATATGCTTTTATTCAGAGTTGGCTGACCTCTATAGACTGGGCAGCATAAATTCCCCTGGAGTCAATCATTAGGATGACTTCCCAGAGCAGTGGGTCACTCGCCTCCAACCACCAGTTAGTCATCAAAAATGACAGCAAGAGTGTATGTGGGTACATTGTCTGGGGAGGGTAACTTGGCAATGTTTTTTAAATTTGCAAAAGTGTATACCTTACACAATTCTGTTTGTAGGAACTTATTCTACATATATACTTACACATATGTGAAATGATGAATGTCTAAGTTACTCATTGCACCATTATCTATTAGCAAAGATTGGAAATAAATTGATATCCTCTAGCAGCTTATTTCATAGCTAATGGCATACTCATACAATGCAATACTAACAACGGGAAGCTTTTGTGTACTGGTATGGAATGGTTGCAGATATATATTGCTAAGGTAAAATAAGTTGCAGAACAGGGGATACAGTTTACTACAGTTTGTGCTGAAAAGAGAAGACAAAAGCACATGTGTTGGTATAGACTTATATATAGATATAAAATATGACTGGAAGAATAAACAAGAAGCTAACAGTGGTTATTGTTTGGGAGATGAAAGTTGGACGAGGGCAACTTTCTATGGCATACATTTTGTATATTTTGATGGGTGAATCATGTGAATGCATTACCTATTCTAAAGATTAAATTAAAAAACAGAAAAGCACAAAAAGAAGATAATCCCACCGATCAAAGTGGCAAAAGGGGTGGGGGTTAGGGTAGAGAGTGAGGGAAAGAAGGAGGAATGGTGAGCAGAAATGGAAGCAGGCCAAGTGCAGCGTAGCTCTGCCCCTCATAAAAGTCTTTACTAACAGGGCTCTGGAATTTCTCTTCTCAGTCTCTTTTAGCTATTGGCCTAATCATTGCCCAAACTCAGCCATACTCATGTGTTTTGGGAAATCTTGTCATTTTTGAAAATGTAAACATTTTTCATACTTCCTCAAAATAACAAGGTCACCCCCTAAAGCAATGACATCCTTTGAAGTTACTTGTCTTCCTGACACTCCTTTCTACTCCCAGGCCAACTCAGATGTCCTAGGAAAAAAGTGCTGAATGCTATGTATTTTTTACTTTTGGAAAATCTTATGATACCCCTTTGAGATAACTGGCAGCACTCTGGGGTGTTGCAAAACCCAACTTGGGGACGTGACCTCCCTGATCAGTAAGAGGCCAATTCCAGACTCCAGGCCCAGTGGGGCTTCCATCATGCATGTGAGTGCATGGGGACTGGGGGTGGGGGCTGGGCCTCTCCTCTGCAGCCCACTAGGCATTTCTGTGACTCCCAAGGCCTGCTTGGTGTACTGCCTGGGCCTGGAAGGTATTTGTTTGGGAGCCACTGACAAACCCTGCTTGTGGGTGAGCAGCTAGGTCCCTGGGAGACAAGACTGATTCTTTTTCCTCAGAGATAATTTTAGGTCCTCACTTCCCCTCCAATCTTTTTGACCCCCAACCCCTCGCTCAGCCTCCCAGAGGGATTGCTTAGATCAGTGACTATACAGTGTTCTTTTGAAATATACAGCTGTTCAAGAGACAAACTAGGGCATGGGCCTGGGGGCATTTTCCATGATAATTCCCCCTCCTCCCCTTTGTCCCATTGCTTCAGGGCAGGAAGCAAGAGAGCTCCAGGGCCAGGTTCTGATAATACTTCACAAAGGTATTATACCTTTTTGTCTCTCAACTTGAGACTTACTTTCCAGTCTTTCCTTCCTACACACAGTTTGAGAGGAGCTGGAAGAGCTTGGCTTTGAGTTTGGTAGGAAGAGGCTAAGGAGGCTCTGGGCTTTTCAGGTGAAAGAAATCTTTGATGGAACCTTATGAAAAATTTCATGAGTCATAAACATGGCCCACACACTGAAAAACACAGTGAATTCCTCAACTCACTGTCTTCTACTTTTTAAAAGTTTATGAATAGAATTTTCCAGGAGGCAGAATGAAGACTTTCCCACTGGAAGAATAGCAATGGAAGATTTGTGTAAGTTGGGGGTGATGGTGGACAAGCCTCAACTTCAAACCCATTCATTCATTTTATTTTTTATTTTTTTTAAAGATTTATTTATTTATGCATACAAGAGCTTGGGTACAGGCCAGAGATGTGGCAGGGTGTGTGTGTGTGTGTGTGTGTGAGAGAGAGAGGATTCATCAGAGACAGAGTGGGGAACAGAACAGGCAGATTGAGTGAAATACACTGCTGAGGGGAGCAGTGGGTGAGTCAGGAGAGGTCTGCTGCGCCATGTGGATTGCTCCCTGGCGGGCTGGGGATGGAATTTATGCTGTAGAGGCTGCAGATTGCCCCATTGTGGGGGGAGGCCCGCATTCATTCATTTTAAATATGTCTTCACAACAGAAGAAAAGGGACTATCTAGGGCCTCCCTGGTGGCTCAGGGAGTTAAGTCTCAGTGCTGTGAAGCTTTCAGCAGCCACTGCAGCAGGAGTTGGATTCCCGGCAGGGAGCTGATCCACATGGTGCAGCAGATCTCTCCATTCTTGCCCCTTGCTCCCCTCAGCAGTGTATTTCGGTAGATCTGCCTATTGTGCTCCCCACTCTGTCTCTGGTGAATCTTCTCTCTCTCACACACACACACACACACACACACACCAGCCCCCACCTCTGGCCTACACCCCAGCTCTTGTGTGCATAAATAAATAAAAATAAATCTTTAAAAAACAAAAAGAAAAGGGACACATCTAGATATTTTCTAGGTGGAAAGGTGTGGGAAGGGGCTATGTGGAAAGTGGGGGGGAAGGGAAGAGGAACTCTCAGCATCCTAGACTACATGAGGATATTCAAATTCAAAGGGCAGCAATGATAAAGACTCCTGAAAGACGACTAATTTCCAGTAGCTAAAAAGATTAAAAAAAAAAAAAAAAGACAGAAAACTGCAGAGGCAGGGTACACCCAGGAAAGGGAACAAATCTCATTGGGATGACATACTGGGAGAGAAAGATACCAACTCTCTGTTACTTAAAATATCTTAAGGTAAGTCACCCTAAGTCGATGAGGGGCTACCTTGCTTGCCTTGAAAAGGTTACCTTTTCCTAGGCTTGGTAAAGGTGTGTGGAATACATTGTAGGGGTGGGGAGCGGTTTCCATTACCTTTCCCCTAGCTCTGCTGCTCGACCTTGGAGGGGAAACTGTTGCAGAACTCCAGGACACCAGGGCTGACAGAGTGCTGTGTTCAGATTGTGGAACTGGTCATGACAGGCGTGGACACGCCGTGGCAGAGAAGTGAGGGCACCCCTTACTCCAGATTTGGCTAAAAGGAAAAATCCAGCATCCACTACGCTTCCCGTCGCCCCACCCTCCAATTCCGCTCCGGACAGCCCAGAGCTTGGAGACTATTGGCCACTGGCCCTTTAAGGGCCGCCACTCCGCCTCACCCCCACCCCCTCGCAGCGGTGGCACCAAGGGGAAGGGGGTGCGGGGGGAGACCGAACGTTCTCGACCGATCGACTGGGGAAGATGGCCCGGGTCGGGGGAATAGCTCCCGCGCCCCGCTTCCCCCTCCCCTGAGCCGAGCGCGCTGGCGGACCCCTTCCCTCCCGTCCCACGCGCGACGCGGGAATGGCTCCGTGGCCCCACGGGAACAGCTCGCTGGCTTCGTGGCCAAGTGCCCCCACCCTGGCGCCCAATGCCGCCAACACGAGTGGGCTGCCCGGGGTGCCGTGGGCGGCGGCATTGGCGGGGGCGCTGTTGGCGCTGGCCACCGTGGGAGGCAACCTGCTGGTGATCGTGGCCATCGCCCGGACGCCGAGACTCCAAACCATTACCAACGTGTTCGTGACTTCGCTGGCCGCAGCCGACCTGGTGGTGGGACTCCTGGTAGTGCCCCTGGGGGCCACCTTGGCGTTGACTGGCCACTGGCCCCTGGGAGCCACGAGTTGCGAGCTGTGGACCTCGGTGGATGTGCTGTGCGTGACCGCCAGCATCGAGACCCTGTGCGCCCTGGCTGTGGACCGCTACCTGGCCGTGACCAACCCGCTGCGCTACAGCGTCCTGGTCACCAAACTCCGCGCCCGGGCAGCGGTGGTCCTGGTGTGGGTCGTGTCCGCCGCGGTGTCATTTGCGCCCATCATGAGTAAATGGTGGCGCGTGGGAGCGGACGCCGAGGCGCAGCGTTGCCACTCCAACCCGCGCTGCTGCGCCTTTGCCTCCAACATGCCCTACGCGCTGCTCTCCTCCTCGGTCTCCTTCTACCTTCCGCTGCTCGTGATGCTCTTCGTCTACGCGCGAGTTTTCGTCGTGGCGAAGCGCCAGCTGCGCTTGCTGCGCCGGGAGCTGGGCCGCTTTCCGCCAGAGGCGTCTCCGGCCCCCACCGGACTGTACGCTTCGCCCCCAGGGGTGCCCTCCTGCGGTAGGCGGCCCGCGCGCCTCCTGCCTCTCCGGGAACACCGTGCCCTGCGCACCTTGGGTCTCATCATGGGTACCTTTACGCTCTGCTGGTTGCCCTTCTTCGTGGCCAACGTCGTGCGCGCCCTCGGAGGGCCCTCTTTAGTTCCCAGCTCGGCTTTCCTTGCCCTTAACTGGCTGGGCTATGCCAACTCTGCCTTCAACCCACTCATCTACTGCCGCAGCCCCGACTTTCGCAGTGCCTTCCGCCGGCTGCTGTGTCGCTGCCGGACAGACCAGCACCCAACTGCCACCTCCCTTCCCGGTCACCCATCTGGCGGTACTGCGGCCCTGACCAGTCCAGTGGAGTCCAGGCAGTGTCCACAGCTCGATGGGTAGGTAACAAAGGCGAAGGAACCAGGGAATCTGGGGGTGAGGAAGCATTCAGTGTCTCATTTAGACAAATTTTAGAGACTGTGGTTCAGCAGGAGAAAGCAGGGCTGGGGAGGGTGTTTACGTTGAGAGAGGCAGCCAATATGGAACCCAGGGTCCTTTCCTTTCCGGCCTGGGACCCACCCAGGTTCTTATTCTTCCCCCAAGACTCAGGGTGCACACCAGAGAGGGCTGCTGTTTACTGAGACTCCTCACCCCCGCCTGGTCAAGTCTAGTTTGGGTTTTCTAGCTCAGATCTTTGATCGCTCAGATTTCTTGCCCCACTTGGGTTGCCTTTGACTTGCAGAAGAGACTGGAAACCCTCCCAAATCCTTGACCTTAGTTATGATTTCTTTCAAAGGTTTGAAAGCTATGAAAGTGAGAATTCACTTGGGTATGAAATAATGACACGAATCAGGAAACTGACTGGGATTTTTCCCCCTGGTAGGAAGAGGGCCGGGGCGGAGTTGGGGGTATAGTTTGTGGCTGGGTGGTGCTGGGGATGTTTTGTGTAATTACATGTGTTCTGTCAGGTCCCTATTTCCACCCTTGCCTCTACTGCCCTTGTTCCCACTCTCTGTTCCCTGACCCCAAGCTATGTTATCTCCATTTTTCAGGGCTTCCTGGGGAATTTCTTAGACCCTGAAGGACAAGAAACAACAGCTCCATTGATCCAGAACCTTTGTGAAGCTTCTGGCCTCTGTTCAGAATAAGCCCTGTGGAGTTTCTGGAAAACTCTACCTCCCAGAACCTGACAACTGGGCCTTTGGGGGATGCCTGGGGGGACGGAATCCTTATCAAGTGGCTTTTCACCATCCTGCCCCCTCCCCACCGCCCCAGAAGTTTTCCAGACCCCTGAACTTCACCACTACCTCAGCTGTTGGAGTGTCCCGCTTGTGCTCAGCTGGCCTTGGAGCAGCTAGGCTAATTTGGGGGAGATGTCCATCACCCTGCTCACTTATGTGCTGTGTGCTTAGGGCAAAGAGAACACCCCTCATTCAATCCCTTTTGGTACCTAGGATTTTGGACCCTAATGAACCACTGAGTTCTTGAGGCTTGGTGGCCTAGGCTGAGGGCAGGATGCTAGAAAAGGTCAAGATTTAGGTCTTTGTCTCTGACTCCCTCACTTTGGCTCTCTTAGCACTAGCCTCCCTCATCTTAGACACATACCAGCTCTGATCTACCTCACAACAGTGTCAGAAGGTTTTGAGTGGCTCCAGGGTTCATAGGAAGGTGAACTATTAGGATGGATCATTCCTTTTCAACTCAAATTAATAAATATTATTGAAGGTTGCTCATTGTTGCCCTCTTTTCCCTCCATTTGTTTTCTTTTGATAATCCGTTTACTCTCTTCTTAGAGCTGGCCTTTGACAGAGGCAATACATTAGGACTAATCCTTTCCCCTTCATTCTAATCCTCATGAAGCAAAAAATGAAAAGTCTGTTTGGGTGAAAGGGAGCCTTTTGAGTCTTTGATATTCATGCCTCACCACCCTTTCCAACATCCCTGGAATCTAGTTGCAAGTGAGGAGCAAAGCCAGACTCCTTGTAGAAGGGAGCAGAAGATTGGGTTTGCTGTGTATGGGATCATCTCCCTTGATACCAGTCAGAGGTGGATTCTTAAGGTCCTGTTGGCATCGGAAATCAGTTCAATGCTGTATGTATGTGTCTGGCGGCACAGAGCACTGTTTGTATGGGGCAAATGTCTGGGTTATAAATATTCCTGGTGTTTCCCATTCTTTCCCTAATCTCTACCTTCCTACTCCCTTTCCTGGGCTGTGGATATCCATATTCTTTTTGAAGCAAACTGGAGTTGCAAGTTTGAGCCAGTTGATAATTTTTTTCCTTATTACAATTTTAACGAACCTTATCAGGCAGATTTCCTACGGAAAATTTCTATGGAAATCACTGGATCGTTTTGGGAGTTCTTATTTAAACACCATTAGCAAAGACCATTGTCTGGGCTGATTTACAGGATACCCAGTAAATCACCAAATGTTTAATGTGCTATATACGACAGCAGTATACAATGCATTGTCTGAGTTCAGGGGCTCCAGAGTTATAAGACTTCAACCTGCCCGAGGATAAGCACAGTGGATTTCCACATATGGGTGTTTCCTGTGAACTGGACTGGGCCTATGCTGCTCCCATTTCTCTAGAATCCCAGGTTTGATTTCTTAGGATGTTTGCATACCAAACATGACTTTCTTCTTTCCGGCCCACGGCAGTGTGAGGTGTGGAGGGTTTCTGGCAAGGACTCCACTTTCAAACCCTTGGTAAAGAAGGAAGTCTTACTTTAGCTTGGGTATCAATAAGAGGGCCTTCTCTCCTCATCTCTGGATATTTTCCCAACGTCAAGGAGGAAAGTTGCCCAGTTGCTTCTAGGCAGGGGAGAAAGATGCTTTCAGATGGGAGGTGGAGGAGGGAGCTTTGGTTTGTAGAATTGTTCTTGAACTTTATCCAGGACTTCATACTGCTTGAGTCTTGCTCGACGTGCACCCGTGTGCCAGCTGTCAGACTCTTCTGGAGTGTTTAGACTTGCACTGGCCTGCGGACTCATCTGCAGATTGTTACCCATGCATTTGACAGATGGAGAGGCAGTCACTCTGGTCATTTCTCCAGCAACGTGTGGCCAGGTGTCAGGCTGAGAGAGATTTACATCCTTGGACGTCAAGCACACTGCTTTTGCAAGCACAAGTCCTGAGCACTTGAACTGTGAAAGACAAACAACCAGATGTGAAGACTTACAGACCAATGAGAACAAAAGAGCTCATGTAACCCCTGGCCTTGCCAGAGTCTGTTAGCAAGAGCTGGGAATGGGGCAGAGATGACAGGGAGACAGGGTGGATGTGGAGGAAAGGGAATAAAGAGTAAATGATTTTTTTTTCCAGAGGTGACCTACCTTTTGTGTCAGGTGGAAATGTGAAGGAGCAGGCAGATGTGAAGGAGCAGGGCAACGAGGAGGAGACTGATAACAGACTGTCCTAGGGCTCTCCCCAGGGAACCTTCTTTTGGGGAAGGGTGGTCAGTGCAGGCTCAGGTCCTTATGGGCAATCAGGGGGCTGTAATTCCACACTAGCAGCGTCCCTCAACCCTTGTAGAGATGGAATTGCTTCTCCCCTCTTGTCCTGGGGCCACAAGTGAAGGTCTTGGAAATGATGCTCCCTTATATTTCCATCCTAAAAGCCAAACATTCAGGCTCTCTCTCAGACCTCTTGGCCAAGTATGTCTGTGTTTATGTGTCCAGAGGAGAAGTAGACGCCTGCAATCAAGAGTGCTGCTGAAGCTCCCCGCCCCATGCAAAACACCCTGGATACAGTAGGCCTTAGGCTACTAACAGAGGAGTTGGGCAAAATGCACAGCTCAGTTTAATTAGCAGAAGCTCCCGAAAGCCTTCTAATCTTTCATAGTCCATCCCATTATGAGATTAAGGAGAATCAAAATGCTTTTCTCAGCTTCCTCAACTACAAAATAAATGGAGACTCAACCAAGCCTCCCTCCTTCCCTTTTTCCCTCCTTTTATTCCCTCCTTCCCTTCTCGCTCTCTTGCTTTTATATGGGGAATGCGGATGACTGCAGGGACTAGGCAGGGCTTGGCTACTTCACCATTGGGGCTATGCAAGCATACGTGGGACCAGGCGCCCCCTGATGGTGGTGTGAGGTATGTACTTTGCAATGCTGGTCTGTGGACCAGTGGCAGGGAAAACTACATTTTTCACAAGGTCACTGACTGTTGGAGCTAGAAGAGCACATAGAAATGATTTAGTTCATTCTTTTGATAAAATGGATAAAGAAACCGATTTGTGGAGAGGTGAATTGTAAGTGAATTTAGTCAGTGAAACCCAACCCAGTGGTCGGTAGTGTAAAGAAGAATTCTGAGCTGGAAAATCAAGAAAGGAAAGAAGGAGATGGCCATTTATTGAGCACCAATAAATATGGCAAACACTGTAAGAGGTGCTCTACAGATGTTATGTTCTAGTGACTACAAATAAAGAGTAGCGTGTCTTATAGATCAACTGCTTGCTGGTGTTGATTTTAAGCCAGTCTAGCTGACTCCAAAGCTCATTTTCTTTTCATTTCACACACTAGTACTAATCAGTTATGTGACACTGAAAAAGTTACTTGGCATCTCTGACATTTTGTTTGGAGTTAATCAAATGGAGATTATGTTGTTGCTCTATTCTGCTCATGATGACTAGTTTTGAAGTCCAAGTGAGAGACTATGTAAAATGGTTTGGAAACTGAAGGGGCAACTCTGGTGTAAGTTGTGTCATTACAGTAGGGAACTGGGACTAGTCCCAGAACTCCTGATTTTGATCCTTTTATAGTCCTGCCTTCTCGGCAGCCTAGCTCTTGGACCCCCTGTCCTTGTCATTCTAGGAATGCCCTGTCTGGTTTTCCTCTGCAGGTTCAGATCCACCACAGACTGAGTCCCTCCATTTCAAGTTCATGTCACACTGTCCATCTCTCTCTGGCTCTTGATATTGTAGTTCTAGTTTGGATCACTCTGTCATTGCCCATGCAGCATTTTCCAATATAATGAGCTGAATTTTAAGGATGGACAGAAGGTTTAAAGCAGAAGGTACTTCTGGTGTTTGGGCTTTATAGTAGATTATGGTTGGGGTTCATGAGAATAAGGTTCTAAGGAACCAGAACAGGAAGAAGGGGCAATTGTTTGTAAGGGATGTCATAACAAACTACTACGAATGGGAATTTATTCTCTCACTATTCATAGAGGCTAGAAATCCAAAATCAAGGTGTTGGCATGGTCATGCTTTCTCTGAGGCTCTCTGAATCTCTCTTTGCCTGTTGTAGTCTCCAGTGGTTGCATGGCATGCAGTCACCTTGGCATGGCTTGGCACGTATCTGTGTTATTCCAACTTCTGCCTCCATCTTCTCCTCTTGTCTATGCCCAAATTTCCCCCTTCTTATAAGGACACCAGTCAGTGAATTAGGGCCCAGTTTAATTGAGTATGACTTCATTTTAACTTGATTACCTCTGCAAAGACCCTAATTCCAAAATGATCACATTCACAGATGCTAGGGGTTAGGGCTTCAACATATTTTTTAAGAGGACACAATTTAACAACAGAGAGTGATGGGGAAGGAGGAACAACATCATTGAAGTCTTCCCATACTCATCTTATTCCTTATTTCCAAGGCTCTGTTTCATCCTACAATGAGTAAGAAGGGTTCCGGGGTGTTATCTATTCCTGGATTTCTGTTTCTGGGCCTTTCCTCCCATGTCTGGGATTCATATTCAAGAGGCTACTGATCAAGACAGACCTGTACTTGCAACTCCTGTGTTGTTATCATTCTCCAGAGCCCCCAGGATTTATCTAGGCATAATAGCCTCGCTTAAGACATTTTGCAGGGCTTTTTCAGTGGCCTAGGATTAAGTCTCAGCACTATCACTGCTACGTCCTGATCTGAGTTCAATCCCCAGCCGGGGAGCTAACCCAGGGAGCTAATGGTACAGCACACTTCTCCTGTCTCGCCTCCTGCTCCCCTGTCTCTGGTGAATCCTTTTGCCCCTCCCCCCGTCCTTTTGGCCTACACCCCAGTTCTTCTACACAAAAATGAAAAATTGAAAAAAAAAAAGATAAAGATATTTTGCAACCTCACTTGCAAGTAGGTATGGCTATGTGACTAAGTTCTAGCCAACTGAAGTATGTAGCTTCCAAGTCTGTTGTTAAAGGGAAAGGGCAGAATTTCCTCATCCACATCTCTTCCCACTGGCTGGAATGCAGCTATGATGGTAAGAACTGGAGCACCTCAGGTTATAAGGTGCAACACTGTCCTGCAGATGGCAGAACCAGCTAAGAGGGGCTGGGGTTCCTGACAGTATGGAGTCACTGGGCAGTGTTCAGCCCTGGGCTGCTTGTAACTTAGGAGAAATAAACTTCTCTCTTTAAGCCACAATTATTATAGCCCTTATATTTTTTTATAGCAGCTGAATCAAATATGTATATCAAAGAAGGGACATATAAGGAATGGGCTGCCCTCCTGTGATGAATGTCGCTTGGGTTTTAAGGCTGCCTTCCTCTGGTGTCTCTGAGAGCACCTCTGACTCTGGGAACCAGCGTCCCTGTAGAGTCAGTTGCTGTTGCACCACCAAATTCATCTATTTGGCATTGATTTTTATGGGGATAATAATCAGCGAGTCTTTTAGTGTCCTAGGTCTGCCACAACAAATTACCAAGACCTGGGTGACCTAAAACACAGAAATTTATTCTCTCAAGGTTCTGGAGGTCCAAAGTCTGAAATCAAGTTGTCAACACGGCTGGTTCCTTCTGGAGTTTCCTTTATTTTTATGCATACAAGAGCTGGGGTGTAGGGGATGAGAGGATTCACCAGAGACAGAGTGGGGAACAGAACAGGCAGATCTACTGAAATACACTGCTGTGGGGAGCAGCAGACAAGACAGGAGAGGTCTGCTGTGCCATGTGGGTGGCTCCCTGGCTGGAGATTGAACTTGTGCTTCAGTGGCTGCTAATAGCTTCAAAATGCTGAGACCTAACCCCTTGCACAACCAGGGAGGCCCTCTCCTGGAGGTCCTTAAGGAGAATCTGCTCCATGCCTCTTTCCTAGCTACTAGTGGTCCTGGACATTCTCGACATTCTTGGTTGATAGACATTTTATCCCCGTTCTATCCCTGTTTTCACTTTCTCTCTGTGTCCATGTATGTCTTTTCTGTTTCTTGTCAGGACACATGTTATTAAATTTGGAGCCTATTTTAATTCAGGATGATGTCATCTCAAGATCCCTGCCTTAATTATATCTGCAAAGACACCTATTCCAAATAAGTTCACATGCTGAGGTTCCAGGCTGACATATCTTTTGGTGGTCACTATTCAACCCACTACAGTGAGGGACTCTTATGAACCATTTAACCAAGAGCTCTAATCTCATAAAACCCATTTACTCCGCACCCCTTACGGAAAGACTGTTCTCTCCAGAATCTTGTAGAGTCTGTGGTAAGCAGAATTGTGACCAAATCCCATGTCCTTGCATTATCCCCTTCCCTTGAATTTGCTTCTAACAAATAGAATATGGCAAAAGTGATGGTATGTTCCACCTTTGATTATTTCATATAGCAGGGATGAAGGGCTTCCATTGATGCAATTAAAATCCTTAATCAGTTGATGTAATAAAAAAGGGAGATTATCTTGGGTGGGCCTGACTCATTAGATGAGCCCTTTAAAAGAAGGCAGAGGTCAGAGACGGAAGGCAGAGAGTCATGCTGGCTGGCCTGGAGGAAGCTCACCACCTTGAATTCTACAAGCTAAAGAAATGGTTTCTGCCAACAACCACATGAACTGGAAAAGGACCCTGAGCATCAGAGACTGCGGCCTTGGCCCACCTCTTCATTGTGGCCTGCTGAGACCCAAGCAGAAGACACAGATAACCTATAATCCAGACTCCCAACACATAGAAACTGTGAGACAATAAATGCGTGTTGTTCTAAACTATGAAGTTTGTGTTAATTTGTTGTACAACAAAGTAAACAAAAGTAGATTCACTATACAATGCTGCTTAAGACTGCTCTTTCAAACTGTCCTTGTGTTGTGCTGTTTTTAGAGGTTTCCCATCAGAAACTAAATACAATGGGACCACTATCTCAGGAAGAGTCTGTGATCTGCCATGATCTGTTATTCTCTACAAGGCCTCCTGGGTACTCTCCTTGGGTGTCCCTGAAAAGAGGGTCTTTCAGTCTGTGCTCATAGTTTCTGAGAGAATGATCAGTTATCGACGACTCCTTGGTTTTCACACACCTTTTAAGAATTTAGGAGCTAGGGCCTCCCTGGTGGTGCAAGGGATTAAGCACCGCACTATGAAGCAGCAATCTGCAGCCTCTGCAGCACGAGTTCGATCCCCAGCCGGCCAGGGAGAAACCCACATGGCGCAGCAGACCTCTCCTGACTTGCTCGCTGTTCCCCTCAGCAGTGTATTTCAGTCAGTCTGCCTGTTCTGTTCCCCACTCTGTCTCTGGTGGATCCTCTTACCCCCCGCATCTCTGGCCTGTACCCCAGCTCTTGTATGCTTAAATAAATAAATCTTTTTTTAAAAAAAAAAAGAATTTAGGAGCTAAATGTTCAGAACCCATTATTTTCATTTGAGTTGCTAGTGAGACGCTACCTTCTATAACACAAAGGCACAGCAAATGTAGTTCCCCTAATCTCTTTAGCAAGAAACAAGATGAGATATTATTGCTTCTGCTGTTGGTATTCTCAGAAGGAAGGTGGGCTGGGTTCTTCCCATAGGAGCGAGCAGCGGGAAAGGGCCGGCTCTGCACCAGCTCAGGGCCACCGCAGTCCGTGGTGTCCTTCCCAGTCCCTTGGGCCATGTGAGGGGGCCCTTCCTCTAAGGCCTCCCTGTGGGCCCAGTCTGAATCTAACTGATGTTGGAACACTGTCCCAGAACCACAGGGAGAGGGGCTGGGAAAATGAGGAAAGCCTAGGCAGCTGCTTTTCCAATGGCGAAATTCTTACCATTTGTAGGCAAGGAGAAACACACGCAGCTAATGGCGAACTTCACTGCTCCAGCCACCTCAGCACCCAGACCCTGGCTGTATGATGGGTCCCTCCCATTCCCTGAGGGAGGAACTTGTCTTAGGAGCAAGCTAGTTCTTTACCCCTAGGCTCCTCTTATGCCAATCCCCTTGGTAGGGTTGCTGACTAGCTGGTATTGAGGTGGGCTGTCTGGTTTTGGACTTTCAACTTAATAGAATGGAAAAAATATTTTCCTAATGTTGTCTTTGCTTTTCTTTAACATTTCTTGCAAGTTGTTTTACTGAAAAATATGTTTCTTTTTTTTTAAAAACGAGGTGGAAAAATTGAACAAAAATAAGTGGAAATAATTATCGATACATAAGATAGTGTTTAAATTAAGCAGATATTTTTCAGAGCTGCTCCTGCCTGCCAACATCTCCCTCCAGGCTTGGTCCAGTGCCTGGTATTTTTATGGGGTACATCTGGCAAATCTACCCATTAGCCATAGCTCAGGCCCTCATCACTTG